AAAGGTATTATATTTATATAATATATAAATTCATAAATAAGTCAAATAAATTGTACATTAAAAAATCATAAATTACAAAGAAAAAAATATAAATAAGTCAAATTTATCAAATTAATTCATAAAAAATTTAAATAAAAAACTACAATTTTTGTAGCTTAAAGAACAAAATGACAATAATATAATGTAAAATAAGAATAAAGAAATTCACATTCTAATGTTTTCAACACAATAAATATAAAAATTTCATAAAAATAGTGCAAGCTAATTGCAACTAATATGCTAAAGAAAGATCAAGCTCCTCAGGCACAACCAAGATATCCAAGAATTCAAGAAGATAACGAAAAAAAGGCAATATAAACCTTACCTTAAAAAGGGAAAAGGATTAGATTCTACAACACTGATATATAGATTTTATACAGTAACACTGAGCAAACCAAGTTTTGAACACAACGAATTCACAGGGCATACACAATCTAAAGAATTATTGTTAAGGCTTAAGAGACTCTCGAACTCATCTATTCATTTTGTGCACTGTGAAAATGAACTATGGAAATGGCCTATCTAAATTATGCTACCCATTGAAAAGATTATCTGATCTAGAACATATCTTTTGAACACTGAATCAACTAGCAGAAGTGCATAGCTATTATCTGCTCCAGACTATTGAAAACGAAGTTGCAGACAATGTCAAATGCCGGGCGTTAGTCAATCTTTTGAGGCTGGGTGTCAACACATTCAGGAAACAAACAACCTAAAATGAGATGTAAAACAAGGAACCATCAATCTGTCCTCCACCTTGAAAAGGCCCAAACCAACAACAATGTACACAATATATAGCAATTAGATCAAAGAAATTTCCAACTTCACAGTCTCAACTAGAAACAACAATAATTTTCATTTTCTAAAGAAACTACATTACAATCCATTTTTCTGTTAGATCCTTGTGCTCCCATTCCTTACACTCAATCTCACACAAAATAACCATAACCATAGATCTAAAACTGAAACAAACGCAATACCTTCTCTTTCAATAGCTGCTCATTCTCTTCCTCCAGTCTCACTACCAGTGACTCCATTTCAACTTGGTAAGCCTACCATTTCAAAGAAAGAGAGAGAGAAGAAAATTGGCATACCCACCCACCAATCAATCAATTGAAATTCAATCATAATGCTTCCACAACATAAAAGTAACCAGACCCAACCCAACTATGAAACTTGCAATCCTCCATCCCTACCATTCCAACTAATATACTAAAGAAAGATCAACCAAAGTACCTCAACCATTCAACTTGATCACTCACCGGCATTTATTCGAAAAAGAGCAAAACATCCCAGAACAATACAAACAGCAGCCACAATATTCCCTTCCTTCAACAAAATCTTGAACAAAAACCCAATAATCTCTTTAGTAATCTTCCTCCCCTCAACCACCAAAGTCCTCTTAGACTTCCCAGAAAACGCAAAGAATAGAAAATTCAGGTGCCATGGGACTTGGGTTGCTATCATGCACCATCCAGCATCAAATTTACCAAAAAAAAACAAAAAAAAGAGACCAAAAATGCTAAAATTCAAATTCAACAATAACCCATCATTTTCCAATCAACAAGAAGCTACCAAAATGTAAAACATTAGAAAAACATATTTGAATTTGTAAAGTATACATAAATTTTGTTCCCAAATTTGAATAACATATTGAATAATTCTTGAGATGGTTAGCTAAGAAGAAACTAGGTGCTATTCCTCTATTTTTTCTATAGAATTAGCAAAAACAAAATACCCAAGAACAAAGATAAAGGTTCCAAGCTTACCAGTATGAGCAATTTAAGATCAAAGAAGAAGAAATATAGAGGAATTGCAAGATTGCTACAGGTGAGAAAAAAGGGGATATATCTGAGTTTTATAAGTAACGAAGAAATGGAAAAGAAAAGTTGGATCTGAGACTTACCAAACACTTGATGAAGTGAACCTCGATAGAGTGGCATCGACAATGGCAACTGACCGACAAGATCACTAGAATTGGAAGGTCAATCGCGATGACAATGAGGGAGGAAGGAAAGGGCAAGAGAGAGATTTTGCTTTTAAGTCGGTCAAAAGTTAAATCTCACCCCACCACATCTGAAGGGATACATCAGATAAATTTCATTACAGTAGGTTGGGATTGGACAAAATGTAGGTTATGTTTTATCCAATTCGTTAGCATCCCCGAACATGGGTTATGGCCAATCAAGATTAATTGTTATCCAATCCTGCAATTAATCTAGCGTTACAAACGAGCTGTAAGGGAGCTCTCACTTATAGAATTTGATATGATTTGACTATAAATTAATCAAAATCTAATATTTTTTTGAAATAATTTAGCTAAATGATATCAAGGTTTATTTTCATCCGAATTCATGATTATGAATTTTTTTATCATAATTGTTTAGATGAACTATAAACATTTTAGTCTTATAATTAATTGAGTCTGTTAGTGACGATTGGTGCTATTGAGATAACCTTTTCATTCCACTTTTTAATACAACTTTTACATGTTATTAAATAAGTGTATGCATTTAATATCACGGATTAAAAAAACTAATCATTTTAATGACACATCATATTATATCAAAAAATGAGATGAAAATATTATCCCAAAATCATTTTCCATTAGTGACTCTATAAAGATCTTGCTAATCACGAAGTTAAAGTGTTTGCATTAATTGCAAGAAAATTTTTTCAAACTATAAATAGCATTTTAGTCACAAAGTATAGGATAAACATTTTTTTCTCAACTAAGACAACCCTTGCGCATAGTGGATACAACTTTCTTAATATCTTATCTCACAAGTTTGGTAACTTCCCTCTTATGCTC